GCAGTTATACTCTCTCTCCTTTGTACTCCATTTATTGTTCAACCAAATAATTTTATGTTATTCTTTTATGCATTTTTAGAGTGACATTTTACTTCGGAAAACAAGCATGGTATGTGTAAGAAAATACTAGTTATTTGGTGGGTTCTTAAAGCTATTCGCAATGATTACCTAAAAATACGCTAACATACAATTGTAGCTAAATCTTTATATATTATCAAGACCCTGAAAAAGAGTCATTTCATAAGACCCTATGTTAGTTTTTTTTACTTCATGATCCTCACTCTGTTTGCAATCAATTATAGTCCATGTCTAAATTTTTTTGTTGCGCTTTTATAAAAGTACTTTTTCAGAAATATAAACATCAAGATTTTCTATACTTTCACCCTGAGATCCTAAATACTAATAATTCTCTATAAAACAATTACACTCACAGAGCAAGATTTCTGCTGTATAAAAATATTCAACACTTTTAACTGCCACTTTGTTCTTATATCTTCTATAATAGATAAAGATAATTCAGTCTTACAATCTAAAGTCTAACATTCCTTCAAATAAATTATACAGCTTTAACACTATTCCCAAGATAACATGCAGAACAGAAGGAGACATTTTCTAAAGCTACTATGAGAAAAATCACAGGAGCAATAATTTAATAAAACTTACCTAGAGTTCTTAGGCTTCCAACATGTCTATCATCAAACAATTTTTCATTGCCAGCTCTTTCCATAGATAATAATGTTCTTCTTAGAATATTAGAGCTAGCAGATGCGAGGTATAGATAGCTTTTTAGTGATTTGATTTCAACTAGGTCTGTAGAACTGGAAAGGTAGCAGATAAACACTGGAGTCCCAGAACATGATAGATAAAAACAAAATCTCCACCTAAGAACAACTTACATTTTTTGTTTTTTAATTTGAAACTTAAAGACTGAATTCTTTCATTGTTGTTGACATAATACCCAAGGACAAAAGGAACATTTTTATATCAATCTGAACCCTGATATCTACAAAATAAATAAGCATCATACCAGATAAAGATGATTTCAAATTGAAAACTTCAAATAAGAATTTTGTGTACTTTAGATGTTGATCCCCATCAAAAAGAAGCTATGCCTCTTTGCCCAAGGCAACATCAGAGATGAAATGGTCTTAAATTTGAAGATTATTAAATACTTTTTAAATACAGGTTGGTAATTAAACTCTTCAATATAAGCTGTTAATTAAATTTTTACCCATCGATACAGAGACTGCACAAAGTGCTTCAGTTACAAAAAGGATAAAGCAAAATAGACTTTTTTTTTTTTCAACATCTTCACTTCCACTTCCTTAACTTAAAAGATTACAAATAATATGAATCAGGAAAACAAGAAGAAGAAAGCAAATTCCAAAGAATTGATATTCGAGGCAAAAACTAGACAAATAAGAATTTTTAGAGTACAAAGATGAAACCTTAGCAGATGTTAACTTTGCAACTGATTTTTATCAATTTGGTTTCCGAGTTAGGTCAGTAAAGACTTGATATATGGTTTCTGAGTAAGTGTGGTTAATAAAGATTTGATATATGGTTTCCGAGTAAGTAAGGTTAGTAAAAAACATATTATTTCACAGTATCATGTTCTTTACTAACAAGCTTGTCCATATTTTTTGTTTTTGTCAAATAAAAATATAATACAAACAAATAAAATTAAAATATTTTTTTGACAAATAGATGGACTTGATAGAAGATTTAACAACTTACAAGATATTAGTCTAATTATCCTAGATGAAAAATTTTATACTTTTTATACCAATGTTATATTTACAAATATAGATAGAGACTAGAGACATTTACATATATATATATATATATATATATATATATATATATATATATATATATATATATATATATATATATATTGATATTTTGATATATTTTGGATATATAGGAAAATATTTTTTCCTATATATTTTTATGTTCAAAAAGGGTTGAAACTTTAATAATTTGGTGGATATTTCATAAATACTACATCTTCTATTTAAAACAAGTAAACAAAAATATAAATACATCACCACGTCCCTGGTAGTACCGCCCTTAACTTGTTTCTCTCCACAGCGGCCTTGTTTGTCAAGGTTCGTGTTTTGGAGTCATAGAATTAAGAGGATTGTAACCACAGCTAAAAGTAGCCTCCTTGACTGTAGTGGCTTTCATGGCCTTGGGGAGGAAAAAAAAAAATTAGCTATATTTTGACAATATTGATTTATTTATTAACAAAAAAAGATCTTTTATTTTTATATGAAGATGAAAAGTTTAATACCCAACTTTAAATTGCGTAAAACATCCGCGTTCTCAGGGTCCAAAACTTTGCAAACAAAGTTTTGATTTATATTTAAACAATGATTATTTCTTTTAAATGTGTATAATTCTAATGACAAGGAAACCTGTGACTTGCTACATATTCTTTTCTTATTTTCAAAATCACATTTTGTCAGGCTAAAATATATCCATTTTTTAATCCTATTTATAAAACGAGAAGGTTAGTTTGGTAACCCAATGCTATTTTTATACAACGATTTTCTAATGAATTTAAGCCGCCCACTGTCGCTAGCTCTGACACAATATCCTTAATAGTCTGCTGTTTAAGAAACATTGTGATTTATTTGTTCTGCATTTCAAATCAAGTGTTTTCATATCGACTTCTCATATGTAAATCTAATTCTTTGTGTGTATTTTTTGAATGATGAAAGACCCCCCTTTTAAAAAATCCTCTTTTAATTATTTTTACATTGCACTTTTTGAAAGTGGTGATTCACCAATTATTTTATTTACAAAAACATTGCCATGCTTTTGACCCACTTACTATCAACATGAAATAGTTATTAACAATTAATAAACCAGATACAACATATTATTAACAAAAAAAAAATACATATTTAAAAATAATTCTAATATAGTATAAGTTTATGCATCTTTTATTAAAGTTATTTTAGTAAAGAAAATGATTTATTTTTCAAAAATAAAATACAGCAAAATGTTCAACTTTTAAATTGTTTAAAATTATAAAAAGAAAACAAAACATACAGTTTTTAATGTTTAACTTTTTACTCTTATTTTATAACAACAAGAAAAAGAAGACATCGCATTTTCTTAAATTTTGAAAAAATAATATTTAATTTATTTAATAATAAAATACTTGTTTTACATAATAATAAAACTTTATGTTGTTTAAGAATTAGGGTTCCTCATCCTGTTTTTGCATAGAAAATGCTTGATCAGGCAAAACCATTTAAATCTGGGAGAAGTTGCACAATTAATACTTCATGAAGAAATACCATATCATTTTATCACAACTGAATTCATTAAACAAGTAAAATGAAGTCATGTCTAAGTGTCACAAAATTAAATGTAGAGTGCTCAGTGTCACAGCAATGGACATTCTACAGCATTTTTTAATATATACAGTCTTCTTCATTTAATGCCAGCTCACGAAAAAGTGCTGGCAGGATAGTCAATTTGAAATTTTTTTTTTTTTGGTTTTTAAATAAAAACAACAAGAAGAATGCTTTGATTGAATACTAAATAAAATAACTTACAAAAAAAACTGGTAAAAAAAAAGAAGCTATTTTTCATAAAAGCTTAAAAAATGAACAAAAAAATTTTGTTGCAATTTAAAACGAAACCCTTTTACTTTTTTATTTTTTTACTCCCTCTCAAAAGTTTTGGTTAACATAAAGGCAAGCGCAAAAAGATGTAAGTGCGAAAGCGCTAGCTAAAAAAAAAAGACTGTATATATATAATTTGTCATAACATTTTTAAGATTTATAAAATCTGGTGATTTAATGCCTAAAACTTAAAGTTATGTCTCAAAAAAATTTATAATAATTTAGTTTTACTATATACATTTTATTATATAAAATATAAAACTGGCAATGCGCTGCTAAGATACTAAGAACCGACATGCATATACTTACACCATCCCCCCTCACCCCAGTAATTTTTTCTATAAATGTTTATTTTTAGAACTTAGTGATCAGCTTATTTTTAGAACTTAGTAAATTTAAATTTAGAACGTATTTAGTTACAAAGATTTTGTTTATGCAAACATAATATGTTAGGTGATAATAAATTACAAAAATATTTTTGAATTGAACTTTTTCAATAAAAATAAAGAAAAATAAATTTTTTTCTAAAGGGTTAAGAACCACCTTTAAAAACTTTTTTTTTAACAACTGGCTCTATCGAGCCGGTGCAAAACCATAGAAGCATATCACTGTATAAATATTTAGACATTAGTATCAGTAAATTAACTTACACAAATCAATGTGTTAAAATTTTTTAGTAAACTATGCGTAGTTATCATAAATCTTATTACCAGACTAAAAAGGTATGGGAAATTTTAACTGGATCATTATAAGTTAGTTAAATGGGTTGTCTCTAGTTTAAATTTTTGAATAAGACCCCCACATATATATATATATATATATATATATATATATATATATATATATATATATATATATATATATATATATATATATATATATATATATATATATATATATATATATATATATATATATATATATATATATATATATATATATATATGTATATGAGTGGTACCATAATTCAACTTTTTTGTCAATATTCATGTCTCAGAGTTATAGGGATTGGAATATATTTATATTGAATCACCCCATTTTGTAACAGTGGAATGGAGTTTATTTTTATATCAATAATTTTAGAATTAATTATTTATTGTCAAGTTTATGCCTCAAACTATACTATTATATAACTTAATATTTTAATAAATTTTTTAACAATAAACTATTATAAATCTTTTTTTTATAAATATATATATATAAATATATATTTATGTTATTATAACTATTATATATATATATTATATTATAACTATTTTTAATAAACTATTATATAAACTTTTTTTTAAATAAACTATCATATAAATTAATATTATGTAAAAGTTGCTTAAAAATACATGACAAAAGAACTAGGCATACCTAACTGCAGGACTAGGGCCTCCATTGTTATTGTTTGTTTGTTTTAATGATGTTCCAGGTCCTAATTAAACCAAAAAGACAAAATTTTAAGGAATAAATAACTATTACAATGATAATAATAACATCTATTAATAAGTTAAATGCAAATAAATGACAAAACAACAATAACATTATCAGCAATATGAAACCATCCCCCATCAAAGAAAAAAAAAGTTTTAAAAGAATTCAAATCCCCTAAATTTGATTTTCAAAGATTTAACTTTTAATTTTTGGTTTTATAAGTTTTCAAAATACTTTTTGCTCCTGGACACCAGTGACCCTGAACAAATATGACTCAAAACCAGAGTCATCTTTCGGACTTTACATCCCTTTATATGACAATAAATAAGTATATAAATAAATAACGCCATTATTTAATTATATACATCTTATTTGTAAATATATAAATTAACAAACAAACAAGTTACAAACAAACATGCTACAAGTAAATGACTTAAAAAACAAAACAAGTTACAAAGTATATATGTTCTGATGACTAGATTAATAAGAAATAATTAAAATTGAAATAACAATTGAAAAATAATACTGGCAATTTGCGCAATAGCTGTATCATCCATTAGTAACTCAGCTATACCCTCTTCATCTACTTCAACTTCATCTACGTAAACTTGTTCAGTTAAAACACGAGTTTTTAAGGACCATGCAGCCTAGATTACAAGCAGAAAAATTATATTTTTCATATCTCTCCAAGGCTTAGAAGACTCTAGAATTAATATTTATTTTATCTTTTATTATATTTTTATCTGTATGTCTATATAATATTGTTTTTCTTTAAGCCTTATATGTACTATGATATAAAAACAAAGCCAATATGCTGAAAAGACAAGTTGAGTCTAGTACTTTTTTGTGTCATGATGTGATTTCACTGTAATTTGTGGTTACAGCCAAATCTCACTGTAACTCAGTTCTTTACCACTACACAACTAAAAAATTAATATAAATAAATAAAATAATAAGAGACAATTAGTAATAATTAAAATCATAAACTGTAAGTTAAAAAAAAAAGTTTTTCACAATGGGTCTAAAATGAAGCAAAATTATATAAAAGTTTCAAAAATGATAATTATATTATAAATAACTTATTGAAAAAAATTTATAAAAAAATAATCATTATTTTTATGCATTAAAATCCACTATACTAATTTTAAAATTTATACACTTGATTCTAACTTAAAATTTTTCTATTTTGTTTTAATATACAAAAGCAACACTAGTTCAAGTGTTAATGCTAGTCCAGTTGTAAAACTAGTTGATAATAAACTATGAGATAAATAGTGTAATAAACTATGAGATAAATAGTGAAGACATTATGTTGTAGGGTAAGAACACTATAGGCAATTATAGGCGGTAGCAGTGAAGTAGAATAGTGCTCGCTTTGTATATGAGTGGTACCATGGTTCAACTTGTTTGTCAATATTCATGTTTCAGACAGGGAATAAAATATACTTTACATTGTCGCACCCTAACAGAAAAGGATCTTTATTTATAATAAGTTTTAATGAAATAATTTTATAAAAAAATACCTGATCATAGGGATTCTTAGTAAGTATATTTGACAATATTTCCAAACAGTTATCAAATCTTTTTCTTCTAAAGTAACTCATGGCAATATACATAGGATCCATATTATTTTGATAAGTAGCTAAATTAAATAATTGAGAGAAAGATTTTGTATGATTTTAAATTTAATTCAAATTGAATTGAATTTTGAACCATTCAAAATCTCATTTTAAAATGATTCAAAATATCTATAAATTTATTTAGGCTTCTAATTTAACTTATAGAACTTATGTATGATCAAAAAAGTCTTCAAAAATTGAATAAAATAAACAATATTTTGAAAAATTAATTTAAGCCGAAAAATTGCGTATGCGCCAATTTTTCGGCAAACTTGCGACAGTCGCATTTTATAATCTATTTGTGGCAACATTTATCGCATTTGTTTTGAAAAATTACTACCCCAATGTACTAAAGTTACTTGTTAAGCTACAAACTTTTCGATAGAACAGTTTTTTTATTTTCTTGAAAGTTACAGTTTTCACGCCGGAATTACGCCGTAGAGGTTTTTTTTATTTGAAAAAAAAGCTTATCTTCACAATGAATTTTGAAGATAGGCTTTCTTGTCAAACTCAGAAGCGATTCTACAAATAAAGTTGTGTCAAATACCCAAATAGCCAATTAAATTTGTAAAAAAACCGACCATAACTTGAAAATCACCTAGTTTGGAGGTGGGGGTAGGAACACGCACCCAACCCTACCCCCAACCCCTAAAATCGCCTCTAGCCTAACTTCTATCTGAAGTTAAGCGTTCTTTACGTCTGATAATTCAAATTTATATTTTTTTTTGTTATTATTATTTTCATTCAATAAATAAAAACTACAGAATAGCTTTATTACAAATATAATTGGCAGGACTCAGTGAAGGATCTAGGATTTTGTGGCGCTTGAGTATCTCAAACTCGAAACATAATATTTGAGCTAACATTCAAACATGGAGCAAACTCAAAAAAAAATGTCAAATAATGATGCTTTGCAAAAAATTGCGATGATTGGCGGCTGGGAACAAAAAGGCCCTTTAACTTCATCACCGGACACCAAAAGAACCTAGATCCGTCACAGGCAGGACACTCAAAAGATCGTACAATCTTCTTTTTTTTTAGTTTTATAAAAAGAGACTGCGATAAGAAATACTGTTCAAACTTAGTTTGACAGAAAAGTTCTTGGAGATTTTTTTAATTTACAAAGATTGTATTTGTCTATGAGTTTTATATTATAAAGGTTTGTAAATACTTTAGGAGATAAGTGATTTTTACATTTGGGCTTAAAACATAAAATATGAACATTTAGTTCGTTTACATTTAAAGCTTTTATTTTTCTTAGAAGTGGTTTTGATTTTGAAAAACAATTAACAATATTAATTTAAATATATATATATATATATATATATATATATATATATATATATATATATATATATATATATATATATATATATATATATATATATGTATATATATATATATATATATATATATATATATATATATATATATATATATATATATATATATATATATATATATATATATATATATATATATATATATATATATATATATATATAGAATATATTACAATTAACTATATACGTGTACGTGACGGAATTGGTCGCCCTGCTATTGAAGCAGAACAATCTGAGCTATTTTATTCTAATCTAGCGTGTCATCTTTCAATTTGCTGAATACGGATTTGCTGCCCACAATATGGGGAAATCCGAAGTGTAAAGGGTGAGACACATTTGTAGCTAATAAAAAATTATATTGGACTATATTATACCTAAACATAAATTTTTAGCCCCTTAATTTATTCATTTATAAATTTTAAATTACTTTATAAAGAGTCTTAAACCATTGGATGAGCTTAGTGCTGAGTTTTAAAAGAGAGGCTACCATCTTAGCAGAAGTGTTTTATGTTTTTGATCGATACCAAAACGGAGCATATTATTTAAAGGAAAGAGACACGTACACACGGTTTCAATCAATTTGATGCGAGTCCAATTCTTCATTCAAGTCAAGTCACATTCAAGGAATATGAAAGAAGTTTGCTCTTGTTTAGGCCCCAACGATGTGTGCTTTATAAGTCAAAAGGATAAAGCTTTGATCCCAATGGGAATCACCGCAGTTAACAAACAAGCTTCTATATTAATGCATATGGAATATTGAGTTTCTCTTCTTAATCATGATTAGGTCATCTCCACAAAGTACAAGTTTATCCAATCTCTTGAGCCAGGCTTTGAAATCAAACCATACGAGCTTGGAAAATCTGACGCTGTTTCCTATTTCGGTCCCACTTTTATTGCTGTTCGATCTTTTTTTTTTTTTTTTTTTCAATTTTACTTCACCTCCTCAAGGCCGAGAAGGCCACTACAGACGAGGAGGCTACTTATTTTGTGGCTATAACCCTCTCTCAACTCTATAACTCCGAAACACGAACCTTGACGAACAAGGCCGCTGCGCGGAGAAACGAGTTGAGCGCGGTACTACCAGGAACGTGGTGGGGATCGAACTCGGAACCACTCGTTTATGAAGCGAGCGCTCTACCACTACACCACTACCGCATTTTATATATCTGACAAAGCATTCATCATTGACAGCGTATACTCACACATTTGACTTTGAACAACTTTTGACTCGTTCGATTCTATTACAAAAGACCCTTTAACAAGTAAAAATTGGTTGTTTTCAGTGTTAATTTACCCGGATTAATTCTCCCTCATGATCATTATGAAACTCATCTAGACTCTCAAAGAATTAAATTCATTTTTAATATCAACTTTTAATCAAAATACAACATATATAGCAAGATTTAATTAAATAGCATAAATAGCAAGAATTAATAATTTGCATTGCGATTTATATTTAAGGTAGGACAATGGATTTTCTTTAGGAGAAACAGAATTTTGAATTTGCTGGAAAAATCTGTGCCTCAATCTTTTCAGGTCTGATGATTGATCAGTTTCCAACGGTGGTTGAGTATATTGATCCAGACGGTAAGACGGAGCTTGATGCTCTTCATTTTTTATCAAAAAATTAGGAGTGGTTAGCCTCTTATGTGTGCACCAGCCAGCATATCACGCAAATTGCGAAATGTGAGGATCCCGGATGTTGTTCTTTGAAAAGGAGCTCTTATTTCCATGTTAATCCTGGTCGATTTCTGCCTCCATTTTTTCCAATCTGCCAGTCAGAAGATGGTATAAAAGCTGAAGCCGTTTCAGACGTCTCCAACAAGAATCCTATTCCTTTTGTATTTCTTTGCCCTATTTAAATCATATCAATTGACAATTATTAATAAATTCTTAGATAGACGAAGAGTAAGTGTTTGATGAATACTTGGGAGAGAAACCCGCGACTAGCATATTTAATCAAAAAATAAATAAACACAAATTTAACAAAACACTATTTGAACTAAACGTAACAAGTCATGTGGATATGACGACATTACCAATAATGTAGCTATCTATGCAGCGCCGGCCTTAGCTTTTTTGACAGGTTGGGCGAAACTTGTGAACGCGCCCCTAGGTAGATATGTTACCATTAACAACGAGACCAATGCTCTAAAATGATGAACAAGAGTGCTAAAGGGATTATATAGTTTAATGCAAAGAGATCCATATTGTGCATCAAGTTTCTTATTTAATTAATTTTTTATTAGAATTATAAATTTAGACTTTTCATGGTATGGGTTTATAGAAATGAGTGACTAAATAAATAGACAACGCAACGCTGCTTTTAAAATAACAAATGTTTTTATTAAACATATAATAAATCCTCTAACTATATAAACAAGAGTTATTAAATTTTAAAATCTAACTTTTCTAGCTTTTTTGTCCGCGAAATCTCTTATCAAACTAGAAAAATCTAAATTTTCAGCTATATCTTGCTCGATTGATAACATAGATAGAGAATTAAGTCGATCTTGCAACATGGTATTTCTTAAATATGTTTTGATTAACTTCAGTTTAGAAAAACTACGTTCTCCACTAGCAACAGTAACAGGTATCGTAAGAAGAATGCGCAGAACAATCCATGTATTTGAATATAACTTGTAGACAATGTTTTTTAATAAAATTCAGTACATAAAGTGGTGTCATCTCTTTTGTATTTTTTTCATTTTCAACATTGCTTAATTTATCTTTAATAAAAAACTGCACACTTATTAGTTTGTCGCATAGCAAAGCACCACCAATTTCTGATTTTGTATTTACAGTTAATTTTTCTTGTAATTGTTTACACAATTTAAAAAGTTCATTCTTGATGGGCAAATTATCCAAATTAAATAAAAAACTCCATATATTTACATATTCATTAAGTTGTTCAAATCTTTCATTTATTGACGACAGACATGTATCTAATAAAGGGTTTAAAAATGTCACTTCTAGTTTCTTCTCGGGATTTTGAATTGGCTCGTCAGCAGCATTTTCATCATAATGACGTTTCACTCGTCGTACTCTTTTAAGCGGCTTAAATATTGCATCGATGTTTAACTCTTCAGCTAACTCTTTGGGAGCTAAAGCCAAACGTCCTGTAATTTTCCAAAAATGTGATGCATTTTTTCAACACTGTACTAGATCCATGTCTTTGGCTTGCATTGCTTTACTAACAACGTTTATTTGGAATAGTACATTGTACCATGCAATTAAAGTTCTGCTCTGCTAATGTTTGCGCTTCGTGTGCAATATCGGGAGTTTTGATTTCAGTTTCATATATAGTAATTAAAGCATCATGTACGCTGCTTATTTGGTATCGGATGGCTTTGAGGCTCTCAATTTTGCCTTCCCAATGAGTGTCGCATAATCGTTTAAGAGTGAAGTTTGTTGTATGACTAAGTAAAACATTCCAGCGTGAAGTTGATGCAGAAAATAGTGTGAATAATCTTTGTATTATGCCAAAAACGTTAATGAAATTTAGTGAAGACTACGCTGCGTCACAAATAACCAAATTGAGAGAATGACTTCCACATGGAAGGTAAAAAGCCAAAGGATTCAAATCTAATATTCGCTTTTGTAAACCTATTTTTTTACCTTTCATATTTGCACCATTATCGTAACCTTGCCCTCGACAAAAGCTTATATTCAGTCCAAAATCTCTGGTTGATGTATCACTAAGTACATGCGCAACATTTTCTCCTTCCTTTATTTTATTACAATCACTATTTTCCGATGAAAAAAATTTTCAAGTTTTTTATAATTTTTCTTCAAATTATCAACTTTTTCTGCTTTACATTTTCTGTATTGAGCACCAGATGGTTTCTTATTGTTATGAGTTTTAAAAACATTTTTTTCTTTATTATGAGTACTCTCCATTGATTGCTGCTGACAGTTTCTATTTGTCTGAAATTAAAAATAAAAAATTACTCGCAAGCTAATAATTCGTAAACAATTTCATTATTTATACTTACCTGCTTTTTATTACCGCAAAATTTGAAAACTTGACAAAAACTGAATTTGAATCACAAATACAACTTTAAATTTCTTTTACAAATTAATAAACAACGCGCTCGCAACTCGTACCGAAAATAATGTTTAAAATTTAAACTTTAAATAAATGGAACGCAAAATAATTGGCGCCGAGAAAGATACAAGTAAAAAAATCAATTTAAGTATCAAAATATATGCTATGATTGAAACACTTTTAATCAAATTATTAATTTTGCATAAAGAATTTTTAACAGTGTAATAATACAATAAATAAATTATTTAAAGAAATTATTTTTATAAAAAAAACAAAAAATCGAAAATCGAAATCGAAAAAATTTAGGTTGACTTATTTTTTCTATTTATTATATTGTTAAATTTTGCATACAACGTTTGGCGCCCAGTTTCCTGGCGCCCTTGGGCGGTGCCCAACCTCGCCCCCCTAAGGCCGGCACTGTATCTATGTTATGGATAGTATAAGTAAACCATTATTTTATTAAATAGCATTTTCATTTGAGAATTGTATTTCCTAATAAATTAAAATCAGCCAAAATTCACCCAGTTTTTAAAAATGGTGATTGTTCTTATGTTTGCAACTACCATCCTATATCATAACATAAGATTACAGAGCCTACAAAACCACGCATGTAAAGCAGTTAACTATTTTAAGAGAGAAGAAAACCCTTACCCTGTAATGAAATACATGAATGTGTTATATATATTAAAACTTAATTCGCTTCAAATATTAATATTTATGAATAAATATAAGTATAACTTGCGGGCAAAAGGGTTTTCTGATATTTTTGCATAGGAATTTTCAGAAAAATACAATCTTTGGTTGAATACCAACCATAATTATCACTTGAGCAGAGTAAAATCGCAAGTGTCAAAGTTCTTAATTATTAGCTAAGGCGCGTCATTATGGAATCAATTAAAAAATAACAATATAAAAAATTTGAAAAGTACTTTCTCTTTTAAACGACAAATGAAATTGCATCTCCTTAATTTCTGACATATATGTAAGTATGTTTGTATATGTGTGTGTGTGTTTATGAGTATATGTATATATGAGTATGTATGCATATATGAGTTTTTATTCTTCACGTAGTATTTTTCAGAAAAAATATTTTATTGTAAATTGACTAAAGCCATGTTGGCTTTAAATATTATTGTAAAGGAGCTCCATGAAAATATTGTGGTGACACCGGTCATCCGTATTTTCTTAGAGCCCCTGTCTGTTTTATATATATTCTTTGTGTAACGTAAAAGTTTCATTGTAATTTTATCATTTTATTTTAATATGAACAGCAAAATACATATAAAAAAAGAAAAAAGTAAGGCAAGTTCTCATGACACACTTTAATTAAATTTAATATATAGAATATGATTAATATAGCATAACTTTTTTTTCAAAAAAGTCTACAAAAACAAACAACTGAAACAAACATGAACATACCCAATAAGCTACTGAATGATATTCAAACACAGAAAAATGTAATTCATTTGAAAAATTTTAATAAAAATGTTTAAATTAAAAACGAATTTGGTTTCAAAAAATAAAAAGAGAGAGGGTGGGGAGTCCCAATTTAATGACATCCTTTTAAGGAGAGGAGGGGGTATAGGAAAAAAGGACAACCAGTGACGAAGGTGGGGGGGGGGGAGAGGAATTTTCTAAAAAAAGATGACGTCCTTTATGGAAAACGCCATATGTTTATTTATATATATAATATATATATATATATATATATATATATATATATATATATATATATATATATATATATATATATATATATATATATATATATATATATATATATATATGTGTGTGTGTGTGTGTCTATATATATAATATATATATATATATATATATATATATATATATATATATATATATATATATATATATATATATATATATATATATATATATATATATATATATATATATATATATATATATATATATATATATATATTAGATGGCAGAGTGGCCCCTTTTTATTGTTTCTTTTTTTTGTTAGTTTATTTACCAGTTCGTTTGTTAGCCTGTATACCATCATTTATTGCGTTGACAAATTCTGAACTCAAATAAACTAAATGTACCAAAAACACTTTACCAATCATCATTCAACTATTCGATCTGCTAATTGTTATTCAACTAATCAATCTAACAATCATCATTTAACTACTCAATCTGCCAACTTTGGGTAATCTAGTTTTTTAAACTCAGTTTTATTTTTTAAAAGCCGTGAAACGGTAGAAGACTTTAATTTCTTTTCCCGACTCCCTTTTCGGACAAAAGCATAATTTTGGCCCTAGATTTATGTCCTTGAGGAAGAATGGCGGAATATAAGATTTAAAGTCGGCAGTATAATTTTCCGCACAGAAATTACCACATCGTCTGAAAATAAGCTTTTGAAACTTTGAAAAATTAGTCCGGATCAACTCAAAACGAAAAGAAGACAATAAGAAATGAAGGATAGAAATAGTATAAAAATCTATTCTGCGTTCTGGACGTCACTCTTCAATTATCTTCAAGTAATATTTTAAAGGTGTTTTTACACTTCATAAAATACTCTTAATGTTGCGAATATTTTAATTGTTTATATTTGTGCAGACTCATCAAAATGCTGAGCGATAAGGATTATGGTATATTTTAATATTATGTTTATATTTGTGCAGACTCATCAAAATGCTGAGCAATAAGGATTATGGTAAATTTTGGATCACTCTTAAGCTTCTAAGGAAGAACATTTAAGACAATCTAGTTCCACCTAAAAGAGGTTTCAGTCATTTGCTTTTTCATTATTATTGATGCAACCGCAGACGCGTTTTAAACGAAACAAATCACTGTTGTTTTTTGATTCGTCCTCCTAAACTCTCATGACCAATGGGTAGTGAAGAAGCTTTTTCTGAAGCTAGAAAATCTCGGGTAAAAAACGTTGATGATATTGCGAAGCTGATTATAGAAGTTTTGAATGAAAACCAAGTTGAGTTAAAAAATTGTATAGGTCAGAGCTAACATATTCGGTGTATATAAAACAGTGCAGCCAATCATTTTCAAGAACTTATCAAGCTTTGTACACTCTTCAGTCCAGCTGGCGTTTATTCTGCGGACTCCTCTGCTATAGTTAAAAACTATTTTAGCAACACCTAATCGTTGTATAACTTTTTTATTATTATCCCCATTTGCTGAAAAGTTTTGACAAAAGCAACTGAGCTGTCTCTACATCAAACTACTAAAACAAGATGTGCTTGCATAAAGGCTAAGCGACGATGGTTGAAACAGTCAAAAGAATAAAATCGTTGCAACTTTTTCAAGTTATTCTAGAAAATCATAAATTGACTTTATAAAAGGCACTCAATAAGTGGATTCATTCAACTGAATTCATTATCCTGACTTCTTTCTGGTTCAATGCTCTCCTATCTGTCAACGATATTAGCCTTCTCTAATCAGATTGCATTTCTTTAGACAAAGAGTCAAAGTTTTTAAAACGCTAATCAACGATCTTGACGACAACGTTCTTTTCAGCCCAAATCCTCCAAGAAGCAATTTTGATTGCAATTTGACTGGCTTTATTTGAACTTCAAAATGGTTTTGTTATGAAGAAGAAAAGGAAAACAATTCACGGCGAGCCGAACCCGCTTCCACAAAGACGAACAAAAAGATTTTGAGGTGAACGTATTTTATGTAGTAAACTAAAACTAATAAAATGAAAATATGTACAATTAAGAAGTTTGGTAACGCATGTGATGAACTAATTGACGATGTTAATGGATTAAATTCTTTTTTAAATTTTTGTTTTGTTTTTATTTTTCAATTTTTTTTTTATTTTTTATTTTTGATCTTAACAACTATCCTACAAACTTGCCTCTACTAACTAAATTATCCTATTAACTTATCTCTAGTTTAAGGTTTGAATATTTTTTAATAACTAATCTTAAGATTCTTTGTTTAATTTTTTATGCATTATGTAGACATACAAAGTATACTATTTTTTTTATACATAAGTTACTATTTTTAAATATATATGAAATAGATTTTTTAGAATACGTATATTATATATAATACTTTTGGATTGATCGCAATTGATACGCTGTTAAATATTTAAAAGCATTTTGAATTTGTTAAAAAATCTTTTTCAAACGAATGATGCAAAACATTCATTTTGCTTTTTTTTTCTTTAAAGTAAAAGATACTGATTTAAGAAAAAGCATTTTATGTATTGATAGCTGTGTTTCGATGCAAGTACTCAACAAAATTTGAATGATCCATAAAATTAAATTAAATGGAAATATTTCAATGGAAAACTTTTTTCATTTTTTGCTGCTTTTCGATTCCATTCTTTATTTATATATACTTTAATTTTACAACATTTATAAAATATGGCATATTAAATCCAAGTTTCGCAAATGTTGTTAAACAAGCTACAAAAGACTCAAAGAATTATCGCATTTTCAACCTAGAAAATAAACAAAAAACAGGTATAACGACTTTTTTTTTGACCGAGTTTATTCCCAGTGGGCACTGGACCAAAAAAAGACGTCTTTTAAACGTTCAAAATATAAAACGTTCAAAAGCCGTTCAAAAGACGTCCAAAACGTGTATAAGACGTTTAAAAGACGTCTTTTTTACGTCCATGTCTGTTGGGTTATATTAGGGAAAGGTTGCGTAAATTAAGCATGTTTTCAGTATAATGTATTTTGCTTCAAAAAGATTACAAAAAGATATATATTTTTTTAAGAATAATGATAATTTCATCTTTCCTCTCAAGAATATAAATAAAGAATTTATTAAAAAAAAATCTTTATACCGAAAATTGCGTTTTCTTCAACACACCCAATAATTTCATCTTAGGAAACCAGTTTCCTAGGATAAGCTTATTTTAATGGAACTCAAAAAAACTCAAAATAACAAAAAAATAATCACAAAAAAAAAATTAAATAAAATCTTCAAGGAATATACTTAAGTAAAAAGTAATTATCTCAACCATAAAAAAAAAATGATAATAATATATCTTTCCAATCTCTAAAAAAGTTGACGATACTACTTTTTGAAAAAACTTTCGCTCTTGAAATACCAAAATAGAGCGGAGAATAACTTTAAAAAAACGCGCTTTTCTTAATAAAAAGCCCCATCTCATCTTGAGCGTCTAAAAACGTATCATCTTAAACAACTTCACAAAGTACTATAATTTAAATAGCATGACGTATTATCTCATGTAACCCATGGAATTAGCAGTAGATAAGCATACAACTATCCTCAACTAGACTTATATTCATCTATAAATTTTAAATTTTATAGTATTATCTCTCAGCGTTTAGAAATTATGACGATATAAAGTTTTATATGGTCATAATTTTATATGGACAAAAATTATGTCCATATTTTTATTATTATTATTATTTTTTTTTTTTTCTGTTTTACTATAACAAAAGAATTTTACGATTTCGTGCTTCATAAAAAGAAAAGTAAATAAAACAGATAGAGACTCAAAGAAGATGAGGATGAGAGTACGTCATCGCAATCTTTTCATAGAGCCCCAAATAAAGTTTTATATGGTCATAATTTTTAAACGCTGAAAGATAATACTATGAAACTTAAAATTTATAGATGAATATAAGTCTAGTTGAGAATAGTACAAAAAATATTTTATCAACTGGTTGCCCCTCACGTTTGGGATGGGGCGGGGTATGAAGTTTAAGGGTATCTTTGTTCCCTGCCTCCAATCATAGTAATTTTTTGCAAAGCATTATTATTTGACATAATTATAAACATACAAATGTTTGGAGTTTGCTCCATGTCTGGAAGTTAGCTATCTCAAACACCAAAAAATTCTGGATCTGTACTGTAGCACTAGAAAAAACGGTTTCAAAAAAACGGCCAAAAAATTATTGTGTGACTAGAGAATTGCTCAAATTAATACAGAACTAGTCCATTACTAATAGAATCATTAATCATTTTCACAAAAATAATTCTATTGGACGTTTTTTTAAGTTTACTTTCTCATATTTTGTGCTATGATATTTGGTAGCACAAAAAAATGTAGAAGTATATTCGTAAGGACAATTTTATACAATGAATAAATAGAAGCGATTAAATGCATGGTGTTGTAATCTTGAGTAACTGTAAATTAAATGAAAGTCATGCAACTTAAATGTCAACAAAGGAAATCTCTACGGATAATTAGTCTCAATAAGACTCGCAAAAGGCCTATCGAAAAAAAAAGAACTCTGTTTTCTTTAGATCAAGAGTATCAAAAGTCTATTAGAATCCAATTATGGAAGATATTTGCTCTTTTAATCATCATCATTAATTAATGACTTAAGCTATATGAAACTAATGATTTAACAATAATAAGTCATTGATAGTCACGAGCAGCCGAGGCATATTGGTTTGCGCGCTTGTCTCAGAAGCAAGAGATCCCTGATTCATCGCCACCTCTGGGCAAGCTTTATAATATCGGTAAGGAAAAAGGCGTGAACTTCTTTTCAAATGATTTTTCGCGGTGCTCTGTGATAAGACTGCAAGGACTTCTTGGGGCCTCTAAAATAAATAAATAAATAATTAGAACTTAAAAAAACGCTTTTAAACTTCAAAAGTTACGAGTTGGCAAATCAAACCACTAATAAAATCGATATCGAAGTTATTTGATTAAAGATTTATTAAAGATTTGGATTTGTCTTTTACTTTCAAGGACCAGCGAAACTTTATGCATTTAATATCGTTTCGAAATGTGTAAATATCAGTTGTACATAATGTGTGTGTGTTTGTGTGTGTGTGTGTGTGTGTGTGTGTGTGTTATTTGAAAATAAAATAATCTCCTTAGCGGAAGATAAAAATAAGAAAAAGAAGATAAAATAATTTCCTAAACGGCTGTCCATTATTTACGTCAACAAAATAGGGTGGAGGGGGTTTCTGAATTTCTTTGACAATTGTTGACTAGGAAAAGGGGGAAGGAGGAAGGTCAAGACAAGTTGACGTCAACAATGATACTTTTTTAAATAAATTTAATTAATTAAAGGAAAATTAGGCAGCGTTTGCAATCCTGTATTATATACTTCAGTATAGTAATAGAGCTATTTATATTCCAATCTTCAGTATAGTAATAGAGCTATTTATATTCCAACTTTTTAAAAACGTGTTGTGCTTTAAAAAGATCTGACACATAAAGAACTAAACTACCACACACGGGTTGTTTACTCGCAACACTATTATTTTTTCAAAGTTGTTGTTACTTAGTCTGCTGTGCAAACAAGAAAGATTTTGCTTGCGCAGGAAGAAATGCAAGAACATAGCCTACATTAGAATATTTAAAGGTTTTGACCAGGGTTTGGCAACCTGCGGATTGCAAGCTTTATGTGGTTTTTTTCTATGTAAAGATGAAGTTCTTTAGCTCTATGCACAAATATTAATATAATATTGAAATAAAGATGTTGGTTTTCTTTAAAAACTGAAACGTTTTGTAAATTGTAACTTTTGGCTCTTCTGTCAAAAGAGGGTTGCCAACCCATGGTTTATTCAATTTGTTAAATGTGTTTTTGGTTAAACTAGACTCTATTAGAAATAATTTGCTTTCACTGTAAAATTGGATTAGGTCTGATGTTAAAGTGAAGAGGCGGTAGTGGTGTAGTGGTAGAGCGCTCACTTCATAAACGAGTGGTTCGGAGTTCGATCCTCACCACGTCCCTGGTAGTACCGCGCTCAACTCGTTTCTCCGCGCAGCGGCCTTGTTCATCAAGGTTCGTGTTTCGGAGTTATAGAGTTGAGAGAGGGTTATAGCCACAAATAAGTAGCCTCCTCGTCTGTAGTGGCCTTCTCGGCCTTGAGGAGGTGAATTAAAATTAAAAAAAAAAAAAAAAAGAGGATTTGCTAATTGAAGTGTTTTATTAACTCGGAATATGATCATATTTTTAACGTGTAAGGTGTTTACATTTTTGTGAACTTTTTAATTTTTTTGTTCAGAGTAAGCCTTTGTAGTTATAAACTAAAATTAAGTTCATAATTTAAAAGTTTATTTTATTTTTTCTATACCTTTTGCTTTTATTCATTTTTTGTTCAGAGCAAGTGTTTTTAATTTTAAATAGTTATTTAATATTATTCATTTGAATTTCATAAATTAAAATTTGAATATTTTTTTTTTCTAAATATCTTAATTTAATCAAATTTTTGTTTTAGTTGTAAACGAGTCTGTTTAAAATAATGTTTTGTTTTTTTCTATTTTAATTTGATTTTTAAGGGGGAAGGGGGGGATAATCGATTGTTGAAGAAATTTTATAGGAAGGCCTCTAGAAGTTTAACAAGTTGTTTACAAGAGGGAAGGGGTAGGGAGGCTGGAAAAAAATCGCCAAAAATTATTGACGTAATAAATGAACACCCCCTTATTTATTTTCGTATCATTTATTTCCCACTATATCACAATATTAAAATATATAATACAAGGCCTAAAATCTGAAACATTATCGGCCATGTCTAATCAATTTATATTATATAAAAAAAATTTTTTCGTGACTTTTTTTTATAATTTTTTATACTCTTTTTATTTATACTTTTTGTATACATTTTTTTTCAAGTTTTTCGCAATTGTCAGGGGGAAAAATCGGAAGTGAAGAAGATATAATAAAATTAAATTTTTACTAAAAAAAAACTTGCACGTATATAACTTTACTAAACATTCGTAACAAAACAAATTAATATCGTGAAAAACCTTTACCATTATAACAATTCATTACGGATGAAACCTAATTACAGACAGCTTTATAAAAAGCTTTGGTATCTTTTATATTAAATAAAACTAAAATTTGACAAATAAAACAATTTTTAAAACATCAAATATTGTTTAGAATCGTGTGAAATGTTTTTGCTATAATTTATTCATTTTCTGGAAGTTTTTCTTTTTAGATCAACTAACGTTTTCCCGCACCTGTTCAAAGTTTTCATTTTTAGAAATATTTTTTTCAGCAAAAATGCAATAGTTTTTAACTGATATTACTTCTCAAAACTACAGCTGTGAATCTCCAGCTATGAATCTTCAGCTGTGAATCTCCAGCTATGAATCTTCAGCTATGAATCTTCAGCTATGAATCTTCAGCTATCATAGCTGGAGCTATGAATCTTCAGCTATCAATCGAATATTAATCTGGCAGAGTATTATGTAAAATATTTTATAAGATTACGTTTCTTGCCGTAAAAAAGAGAAGAAAGAAAACGTTTCAGATTGAGAAATAGCTTACTTGAATATAATTTTTATTAATTTCTGAATGTTTCTGTAAAAATCAGAATTGCGAAAGGCTAAAACTTAACCCTTTTGCTTTTAACTTAATATAGTTTTTAAAGCCGCCCGGACCAACTCTAGTACAACTTTTCTCCATTTGAAAATGGCTCAATTTGTAATTTTTCCCCCCTTATTTGTTGTGATTTATTATCTTCCATGAAAGTGATGTCAAAAAATATCTTTTAAATTGATATAAGGTGGCACACAAGT